ATTACATTTAGTAAGAAACATAATTAAAAGTATTTAAAAAAAAAAGAAACAATATAATAGCAATAATATTACAAAACAATATTGAACAAATGTACCAATAACAGTAAAAAAAGAATTTATTTGATAACTAAATAATCAAGTAAATATCAAATGTATTATATATTTTAAGGCTATAATGTAATATAAATAATAAGGTATTAGCAACAAGTTTTTATAAAAAAATACTCTAGACCTCATAACTTTCTTTTCTAAGCTCATTACTCAAAAATTCTGTTTTAAAAAATTCAATTCAAAATAGCAATAAAATGGGTCACATAAATTAAATAAAAATTAACAATAATGTAACATTACAAAGTGGAACAGAGCACTTTTTTATTAGAATCACAACTGAATAATCTAGCAGCAGAATTAGATTCAAGGCCACTACCACAATTAATATACAGAATATAAATTATTAAAACAGTTTTGAAAAATTTCTAGACTTAAGATATATATATTAAATTATTTTTTTTTACAAGTAGATAACATGTAGGCACATAAAAAACATATACATAGACATGTATTTATAATTTTTTTTTTATTGTAAGTGTGACTAAACATTAAGAATATCTCAAAGAAATTGAGATATGTATACAATAATGTAACTAAGAAATATATAATAGAACAAAACTTCGTATTTGCAAGTTATACAATTACTGAAACAAAATTTTAAATTTCTTATAAAGTGAAAATATATATATACAAATTCAAAACCAAGATAAGTTTCTAAAAGCTGGCCAGATAAATTAGGTGATTAAATTTGCGACTGTGGATAATCATTAGTAGGGCTAACAAATTACTTCTAAAAATAATATCTATAAATCTCCTAGAAAATTGTGTTCTAAAATGTGTTTCATTCTGCATTTAATTCATTTTCAAACTGAGACAAATTCTGGTTAAAATAATGGGTCTTTTAAGAGCAAAAAAAAATGTTTATCTAAAAAAAGTTAAAATTGTTTTTACTACAACTATAACATATTACAAAATAACAACAACTAAACAGTAAATTTATCAAAAAAATATTTTTGAAAGAAAATTTCCATCTCTAATTTTAATAATATTTATTAATTTTACTAATATTATAAAAATGTCTTTAAATATAAATTTTTATTTTGATAATATCTTAAAACAATTTTATATAGAATTTTATATTCACTTCTGATAAAATTAATTATATTCTTTACATATCTGCTACAATTAATAACATTTTAGCTTAAAATCAAAAAATTACTAAAATGTCTAAAATTTAATTTCTTATTTCTAATTTATAAAAAAAAAAAAGAATGATTATTTGTTTAAACATTTTTGTAAATAAAAATTTTCAAGAAATATAGCATTATATTTTGATAATTTTAATGTAAAATGTTAACTAGTTTTGTTTTTTATTACTTTTTTTAAAAAACTGTGTTATAAAACATTGTGGTATAAACTTGATAAATATTGCTTGAAACTCATGAACTAAACAACCGTGAGTGACTTTAGCTAAACCAATTGTTCGCAATGATTGCTTAACGTAGTTCTCACTTGTTGGAACAAAAAAAGAAGGATCCTTTTGAGACAAGTTTGTAGCAACAAAGAAAGGCACAACTAACTGCTGTTCAACACAAGATGCATTTAGTTGTAAATTTTTAACAAATTTTGTCATAAATGATTTAGTTGGAATGTAAAAAGATGAAGCAGGACTCTCTATATATACAGAAGCAGAAGAAATATGAACAACAATCCCACGACCGCGCTCATTCATACCTTTTAGAACCATGTGGGTCATGTGGACATCAGAAAATACATTAGCATACAAAACATCAATGTTTTTATTTAAATCACACTCATGATAAGGAAGAAAAAGTGAATTTTCGTAACTAATTCCAACATTGTTTATGAGAATACCAATATCCATTGGAGATAATTCTTCTTTTATTGCATTATATCCATTAGGATTCCTGAAATCATAAACAATTACTTTTGTTAAAACACCATATAAACTTCTAATTTCTTGAGCAAGCGCATTAAGTTTTGACTCTGTTCTACTAATCAAAACAACATTGAGTCCAGCTTCAGCAAGTTGAAGAGCATAATGCTTTCCAATGCCATCTGTTGCACCAGTGACTATAGCCCATTTTCCATATTTTTTTAAATCTTTATAAAAACCCAGAGCTGGCAACAAGTAACAATACAAAATCATCCATGTGAAACAAACTGTGTGATACAAGTAATATAAAAGTGTCACAAGACCAAACCATACCAAGTATTCTTGAAAACCAATTATGTGCATAAATTCTGCTATCATTTTTAATTACTAAATGTGTTTCATAAAAATCATAGTTTAAATACATGAATAATGCAATATGTATTAACAACAATAAAAAAATATTAAAAAATAATCTTCTAAAAAATTCAATATTAAGTAATTAAAAAACTAAAAACTTAATATCCAAAATTATCAAATCTGTTTTTTAACTTTTCTTTATTAGATACCTAATAAAAAAGCAATAGAAAAAAAATTATCTATACTAGAGAAAAGTAGCTAATGCAAAACAAAATGTTACAGCAAATCTATTTAATAAAATACTATGCCAGTAAAAAAAAAAGTACAAATAAAGTAGTAGGGCCAAAAATCTTGGTGTAAGTGGTATTTCAGATAGTTTTCATAATTGGAATTTAAATTTGAAAATTGTATTATTAGTAACAAAATTATTAAAAAATTTTTACTAATAATATTAGTAATTAGTATAATAATAATATTATGATAATATGAAGTTAAAATTATTTTGATAACCTTTTTACTAATATTATTAGCATCTATTAGTATTTTAATAATAGTATTAGTATTATTTGAATCATATCAATATTAGATTTATATTTAATATAAAATTAAAAAAAAAAACTAATTGTAGAACTTAACTAACTAGTCACATATGGCCAATATTGAACCTGGATTTAAATGAAACTTATTTGATCCCTAGAAAAATGTTTAATACCTTTTACAAGAAATTCATCCCTTAAAACAACAAATATTATAAATAAATATACACATTTAATCATTTTAATTTAATCATAACACTTGTAGTTTTAAGGGATGAATTTCTTTTAAAAGGTGTTAAACATTTTCCTAGGGATCAAATAAGTTTCATTTAAATCCAGGTTCAACATTGGCCATATTTAAAATTTACATAGAAATGTGACATTTCTATGTAAATTTTAAATTAATAAGATGATTTTGTATGAGTCAAAAAGTAATTTGATTTACTTAGTTTTAAATATTCTTTATTACAACGGATCTTTAAACTTAGCGATTTTTGGCTGTCACGCTTAATAATAACTAGTTAATATTTGTACTAAATACTCAAATTAAGTGTAAATGAGTCGGGTACAATTTATTTTCACAACTTTACAACACAGGGTGTGAATATGCCCACCTACGCGGAATTATGGGTGTTAAGTAAATTGGGATATATAGATTGGCGCAGTTAAGTAAATTGGGATATAAAGTAGCCAATCCCATAATTTTTTTTTTGACAACCAATTTTTATGCGGAGTGGCTAATGAGTAACGTAGAGGTCATATTCAAAAAAAAATTATTTTTTATTTTTTCTTGATAGAAGTATTCGCACCGATTGTTCGAAGTTACGCTTTTTATGATTTTTCACTAAATTTAAGGCAATTTCCAAGTATTGGAGCGAATAGATTCTGATGTCAAATCCAGTTAATTTGTTCAACGATGTTTTCTTTATGTGTTCCTGAACCCAAAAAAAACACTGTGCTTAATAATTTAAGAAATATGTTATACCTATTTTTCACTGATTACGGTAGATAAATTAACACTTTGGCTAATGTAAAGTGATTTTCGTTGATCTTTAGGCTTTTTAAGGTCACACGACAAACTTTATGTTTTTTGCCTCATTTTTTATCAAATAATATTTTTTTATTCAAAATACTGTTACTGGAGCCTTGGATCAAACAAATCCAATTCCAAAATGGTTTCCTTGAAAGATTGGGTATAGGACTTTGAATCTTTTGTTGTAAACTAAAGTAGATCAAAACCTATCAATGTTACTCAAAAATAAATATACATATTTTTTCTGTAGTTATTTTAGATAATCCAAGAAGACTTAATGGTCGCTTCACAGAGCACCGCAGAAAAGCATTTAACTTGGAAGTTTACGCTTCCTTCATGTCGAAAAAAAGCCTAGGGTAGGCATCAAACCATAGATCAGTGCAGGATCCAGCATTTTTTAGTGTTTGAAATAGCTAACAGACATATCGCAAACTCGGAACATTTGTATGTTTATAATTATTTCCATTAATGATGCTTTGCAAAATATTGCGATGATTGGAAGTTAGAAACTAAAAAAGTCTTAAAATTTTTTATAGTTCTATGTTTATATTCATTGATAAATTTTAAGTTTTATAGTAATATCTCTCAGAGTCCATAAATTATAACCATATAAAGTTTAAACCCCCCTTAATTTGTTGGGGTTAAAAATTTTATATAGTTATAATTTTTTCACGCTTAGAGATTGTAAAACAATACTTAAAATTTTTCAATAAATATAAATTTAGTTTAGAATAGCAAAAAAAATATTTTACCAACCTGTTCCTCTCGCGTCATCATTATTTAACATAAATATAAACATACAAGTGTATGGATTTTGCTCCATGTTATCTCAAACACCAAAAAATGCTGGATCCGTCACCGCCACAGATCTTTTGTTTCTGAAGCAAATTTGCTTCAGAATTCAATGTTTAAACGCTATAAATATTTATATACATATAAATTTTCAGCTTAAGACAAATATCTCAAGAAAATATGTAAAAATATAATTTTTAAATGTACTTTTAAAGTTCAGAGTTTGCAGTTAGATATCGGATCAAAATTCAATTTATAAGAACCATTCAATAACGAAAAAGCGGGAAAGCAGTTGCCGTAGCTAGTTCCTTGGATCTACTCTTCTTCTTTTTTT